CGTCACTATCCTTTAGATGATCTGTTGTTTCGCTTTTCTCGGAAGGAGGGGAGCTCAACTTGAAGAAATGTTCTACTGCCTCCCCGAATTCATCCCCATACTTGGATGTTCTTGACAAAGCGTGAGAAGTAGAGCTGTCTGGTAACCTCGAACCTTCTGAAGCCCAAATCGAGCTCTTTGGGTCACTCGCCTGCCCTTGAAGCTCTCTAAATTTAAATCCGGTTAGAATGAATTCAGAAAACCGATGACCTTCAAATCCTAGTCTTCGCCCTCTTGGGGGTGTAATAACGATAAGCTACTCAGACATGGGCAACAGATTGGCGTGGAAGGTATCGATGGTGGTGCTGATTTGTAATGTAATATGTAGTAAAGAGAAAATATGGTGGCAATAAAAAGTTGTGGTAGACTTTGCAGGGCAGCCTGATAGGCATATGACTTCAAAGCGATCCTCAAACACCACACCATCACGTCAATCGTTCATGTTTACTCAGTTTCCGAACTAATGCACTTTTGACAATCAACAGTTACCAGAGCGATGGTTTGGTAGTCGTTCGATGAAACCGTGCTAATGCTGATGCGATTCATTCCTCCCGAATACCCCCTCTCTCCGTAAGTGCTGCAGTATTGTCCTCAGATTTCACAATATTTGTTCAAGGGCTCGCTCTAGAAAACTGTATTCATGGTCTTTGAACGTAGTAGAAGGCGGTTCGGAACCTTTTACCGGCAGTGTCCGATTGTCGCCAAAACGGTCCTAGAATAAAAGCAAAAGGCGGAGAAGGTAAACAGGGAAGAACAGCTGATAAACCCTTCCAATTTACATCACGAGTTCCCAATCAGAACAATGCTATTTGAAAAAACACCCCATCTACACAACACCCAACACAGTTCGGTCAGTTTCTGAGATCCCAGACAAGTTCAATATCAATTCTCCGCCCAGCTAATCAGATTGGTGGGTAAAGGATGTTACCACGACAAACGGCATGCAGCACCACGAGGCAACTAGCAAGTTTTTTCCCGCGTGCACTGAGCTGATCGTGCATGGCGCCACACACCGTACCGTGCACGGAAGTTGAAGCGGCTCTACCTACAGTACCACAAAACCTACCTGATTCAAGGTGAAATTAAAAGAAGAAGCTAACCCAATGATAATCAGAGCTGATTCATACCAAATTAGAGGTCCCGACTGATGAGCAACAAGCGATTATCAGAAATCAGTGATTTAGCCCTGATTATCAATGGGATCAACACAGCTAAACTTACAATATGAATTGATGATGCTGTTTCCTATGACTGAGTACAGCCGCGCAGCCGTAAACATCAAAACTTCGTCAACAAACAAAGTGCAAAACAAAACATTTCCCGATAAATATCACTCTTGGTGAAGTTTCGTGAAACTTGAAATCAATCAAGCTGCCTGCCTGTTTTAAGATATCGATTTTGTTCTCGGCCCAGTTCAACTTTCAACAAAATGCTTAATAATAATCTGTATCTGCACTTATCAAACATCACGATCAAAAAATCATATACATACAAAATTACAATATATCTCTGTATTGTCAAAAGGTGATGAAACGTTAGCGGCACAGCCGCGCAGCGTATAGGATTGGTGGGACGTATGGGGTGCAAAGAGATGGATCGGGTGGGTGCACAAAAGGTGAGGGACATAAAAAGAATTTCAGGGAAGATAATGGTGTTAATGGAATGGAGGACAGCAACGACACTGCACCAATCTGGCCAGAAACACACGAGAGACGAGTCGATATGTGACGGAGCAATGCAAACAACCGAGTCATTGAAATGAGTAGTCAATGTGGTTTTCACAAAGAGCGCTCTATAGTTCAACTAGAAACGAAACCGGAACGAAACGATTCAAACAAATGAATGGACTAACAAATGGAAGAAAGAATGAAAAGATGGACGTAGGAGAGGAAAGGCTAGGGTTGGCTGTCATCGGACAGAATCCTCGGCAAAGATCATCGATCACCACCGTCGATCAATCAATGACTATGTTGATCGTTGTGGTTATGTAACAGATCAGGTGATAATCAGAAGCCAACGGCTGTGTAATGACATGAAACAATCCGCCGACATCTTGTGGCAGGCGACATGGTGGCGCCCAAGGGGGTGCGGCACCTTTATTGTACAGCAGCCTTAGCAGCTTCTTCTTGCATGCGAGTGTGATGTAGTTCGGCCTCCTGCCAGATCAGCTCCTTGAGCTTTTCCTTCGGCAAATCGTCAAGCTCCATCTCGTACGTGAACGGCTCTTCACAAACCGGCTAAAAAACGATCAGTTACAGTCTCGGCGACAGCACGTTCACGATGGTTTTGTTTACGTCACCGCTTCGAAAGTGCTGTATCGCGTCCCGGCATAAAATATGAGCTCGCGCCTCGAAAATGATCAATAGGGCAACGATATCAAAGTAAAATCACCTCATCATTCGGATCGTAGTACTGCTCGAGATACGGATGGGCCAGTGCTTGTTCGATATTTATTCTGAAATATAACATTATTATAAAAAGGAAATGGGCTCAGAATGTACTTCGAGTAAAGAGACAATCAAAGAGCATGAAAAAGAAGAGTGTATTTTGCGATTATTCAGGCAAGAGCCACGGCGCAGCAACTCATAAAGCACCAGGTATTTCGAGGAAATTTAGGACTCAAAAAACACAGTACGACTCGAGCTTTCACTGTAATTACTTCATTGCTCGATACCACCACCAATCCATCAGTGCTTGTTTTTTAGGAAGTAAAGTTGATCCAGGACAGAACTGCCTTCAGTTCTTTCAAAAATAAAACGAGACGGTAACTCTTTTATAACTTATAAAAGGACCCTTCAACTTTTGTCAGCATCTACAAAATAAATACCTGCATCTTTTAGGAAGTATAGATAACTCTCGCTGTTCAAGTTGAGCCATTTGTGGTCTCTTTTTTGCCCACAGGGCCCGCTTCGCCTACCGCGACGCAAGCGTTACGCGCGCGGTGATCGATACTATGCATTGCGTAATTTCTCAGGAATAATACGTTCAAGCGATCATTTCCATAGCTCAGTAGGCATACAAGGTAAGGCTCGTGAAAAATGAAGATTCGAAATCTCCTACAGTTCCAGAAAACGAAGCGCCAGGGAGAAGTGTTATACCAGTATTCGCTTTATTGGCGCAAAGGCAAGCCGGACAGCCACCAGACGAAGGCTTTAAGCACAGGTATTTTTTGTAGAAATGACACTGCTGCACCCGAAGCACCGGCAGGCGAAGGTAGTGGTTGGTACATTATAAACTGATAACGCTGCAGTGCAGAAAGCCAAATACACTTCTCCTACAAGTTTAGATTGAAGAAATACTCCAGGAGTAAGGGTTTTAAGCGCTGCTTCCAATGAAGTCATCAAAATTTTGCATTCTGTTATGGATAAATCTTCTAGTTTCCAAGGCAAGAATTACATGTGATTGAAATTCAACCTACAAAATAAATTCTACACTTTTCGATGTACCCAAAGACGCCTAGGGAAAAATCTCATTTCGGAATTCCCTTCACTACCATTCTGTGAAGAAATATGTCAGCTACTATCTCTGCTCGTTCCCGTTCAGTTCCATTACAATTCTTCGAAAAACGACGATAAAAGCATGGGATTGGTGAGAATTTGATGACTCATAAAAGAAAAGCGAAAGGGCCATCAACTCAAGAAAACGATTCACCAGCCATAGAGCCATCACTAAATTCACACCGGAGACCATCACACACAGCATTGTCAATCTAGAAAATAAGGATTTGACAACCACGACAAATTTACCCGTAAGCCCTTGGCAGGAAATATAGTCATCGCACAAAGATGATGAAAATAAGCATACTATAAATGATGGCTGGAAGACCATGCACAGAAAATAAAAAAACGGGTGAAAATCACAAGCAATTCATTATGTGCGCATTGATTAACTCAGCAGGCTCCATTTACCTATCAGGGAATAAATCAAAGGGGTGGTTTTTCTCGAAAATTCTCTTTCCCCTCATCTGATTAACTGTCTCAAATGCCATTCGCATTGCTGTCCTTTAATGGCGTAAAAAAATATCTATTGAAAAAGAGTTTACAGCTCCTTGTAAGACTGTACTGTAGGCGCTGATAAAGGATGAATGACTTTTGCTGAATTGTATCATGAATTCAACTTTCTTTACACCTAAACCCCAGGTAACCGTTGAGCGGGCGGTCCAGAAAAGAAGCGATATTACAATATTTGCGATTAACAGTTTGAGTCAGCCTCTTCATTACAACTTTGAGTGGAAATTTCTACCGGGGTCACATGTTCAACTTCCTCAGAGCTGTTCACCCGCTCACCGTTCTTTCGAACGGGAGCGAGCTCTGGTGGAAATCAAATTGACAACAAAGAACGTTGCCCGTGCGTGAGAGGATTAGTATCCCAAGAATGAGAGAAAATCAGGTTAAAGGGATCAATTTCTCATTAATGGGAGAAAATTGAAACGATCAAAAAAGGATTACCGCGACATCAGTAAGTAGTTAATTAAAACTGGAGATTGTAAAATTTACCTATTATGTGGATTGAAGGTTAACATTTTTTCGAGAAGATCCAGTGCTCGAGGATCAGCTCCTGGATAGAGGCGGGACCATGGTTGCTTAGGCTTGTGCGGTAAGGAGATCAAGTAAGAACGAGCCTTAAATTATTCGATCAAAGTGACATGCAATAAGAAAACCAACTCTCAGAAGAAGTGAAAAGAATTAGGTAAAACAAACCTTGTCATTAATAATACATTGTAAATCTTCCTGTGAAGGTGAACCCACAACAGCAAGGATAAGGTTTAGTTGATCGAGGTAGTGTTTGCCCGGGAAAAGTGGGCGATTGCTCAACATTTCAGCTAGGATGCAACCCACCTGAACACGCTTCAGATGTTAGGGTGTAACGATTACAAAAGAAAAGACGAGTACACTGAGCAAAAGGTAAGCTAGAAATAGCTCTATTCATCTACTTACCGACCAAACGTCGATTGACTTGGTGTAGCCTTTGGAGTTAAGCATAATTTCTGGTGCACGATACCACCTGAAATTGATCAATGATGTCATTATTACCCAACATCACACACTCGATAAGGTTTCGACTGCGATCTCTTCAAAGAAATGAGAATGTAATGGAAAGTGAATGAAAAAAAAAACAAATGAATGGGAAGGAATTTCATCGATTTTCGGTACAAAAGGCGTAAAATTTATTGGGAAACGGCCCTATGCAATTTATTCTAAAGATCAACCAAACTCAAATCAGAAAGTGCTCAAACATATAGGACAAAGAAGCCGTGGAAACTTGTACCAAAACATACCGCGTGGCAACGTATTCGGTTAAGAATCCAGTGTGATCGGTTTGAGGATCAGTGACTCGAGCCAAACCAAAATCGCAAATCTACAAAGGAACGCCGCGTTTAAAATTGGTTTCCTCCAAATAGCTGTAATCCTCACGATCGCATACCTTGAGATCACAAGTGGTATTGAGCAACAAGTTTGAAGGTTTAAGATCTCGATGAAGGACATTCGCCGAATGAATGTATTTCAGTCCGCGAAGAATCTAATAAATAAAGGCATGTGTGAAGGAAAATAATTGATATCATTGAAGCAAAACTCAAGAAGACTTTAACAACAAGAAAAGGCAGCCCACCTGGTACAAGAAGTAGCAAACATGGTCGTTAGATAACTTCTGTGTTTTGAGCAGCTTGTACAAATCAGTTTCCATCAAACATTGAACAATATAGCTTAAAAAATAACGTTTAAGATGGCCAAACGTAAATAGCACCAATCAAGGTATTCCTTTTGACTAGAGGGATATTATTTGAATATGTGAGATAGGAATGAGACCCCCATACGATAAAAAAACTTATGGAAATAACAAAAGCTATAGGAAAAGGAGTGGAATGAAATTATAGAACGATATTGAAATCTTCACAAAAGGCTCACCTCTTAAAGCTTAATCAAAGTAATCAAAGATCAAGGTTAAAACTTACATGTCTTTCATTTGCTCCACGGAAACAGATCGTATTATTTCTTGTATATTAATAATCTGAATAAAAAGAGGTCAAATGAATGCAATGCAAAAACAAAATTATATCGATAAGGCAAAACCAACGTTTTCGTGTTTGAACCTCGTCAGGATCTTTATTTCTCGTAACGTTCTTTGACAGAATGTTTGATGCTCGAAGGGAGAAATCTTCTTGATAGCGACTCTCTCTCGGGTTACTGTATCCAAAGCGGAACTGAAAAAATCAGTTCTTTAGCAGAAAATCAAATCAAGAATGAAACTATCAAGTCGGAAAGGCAGACCCCACACTTAAAGCAATATCATGCCATTTTTCCAATGATAAAATCGACATTTTACAGCTGTTAAGTATTATTTTGTTAGCCGCTACGAGATTCTCTAAATGTGAGCGAATATCAGAAAGTAATTGTTTTGCAAACGACAAAATGCTGGACCTTTGGAGAAACTAGAAACTGGTCTACCATTTCATGCATGAATAACTCTTTCTGAACGAGTTCGTTGCCTTAGAAAAGAGCCATCATTCCTATGCAACTGTGAAAAGGAAAGCATTACGCAGGTTTTACAAGTTTTATCGCCACTTTGTCTGCAAAATTTTTATGCGAAAGTCAAAGATGAAACTTGATTCGTCAGAACCCAATGAATACGAATAACTTTAAGACGTCGAATCACAGAACAAAACTTGTGCCCTGGTAACGCCAGTATTGAATCAAAGAGACCGGAGGAAAGTCAAATACAAAAAAAAATTAATTAACAAATCTAAGTTTACAGTCAAATCAACAGTTGAAATGTTTTGTAAAGCTTGCAGAGTATGCTGACCCAAAATCACCGATAAGTGCAATTTTACAATGTGGAGGATAGACAAAATCACCATTATGAGGGAAGGCCTAACTCTAAAAGTCCAAAAGTTGATAAAATTGCAACTATGGCCGATACTCACTGACAAGAAGACGTTTGGCTTTTACCGAAATCAAAAGAACACCCCAAAAGCACTTCGTCTAAATTTAACTAATCCCCAGAAATCTCGAAGTCTCGGCCGAAATAATTGATTGAAATGAAAAATACTACCAAAAAAGCCAAATTATGTCTCCAAAATGAGCAAAACGATACGTTTTGACTCACTAGCATCGAAGAGTTCAGCATTCAAAAAACCACAAAACAAATTCTACTTACGCGACCATGCCATAGGCACCTTCGCCTATATATGAAAG